CTGGTAGCTTAGTGCAAGTCAAGGTAGTGGCACAAAACTATACTAGTAGTCATTGTAATCTTCACTGTCATGGATCTGTATTTCAAATAAATGCCAGTTTCCATTGAAAATGTTCTTGATGAAGTGGTAAAAATGATGCATTTTGCTACATCTTGATTCTTGAGTACACTTTTTTTTTTTTTTTAGCATCTTGTGTGCTAGAATAGTAAGTATGCATAAAGCACTTCTGGTACATTCCGAAATACAGTGGTTGTCTCATGGAAAAATGCTTGTGTGATTGAATGGTATTCTGAACTAGGTTTTTTTTTTCTTTCATGGACATGTAACATTTTTTAATGTAACAATATGAGTGGAACAACATTTTTACTTGAAAGAATGACTGACAGACAAACTATAGTTCTCAAAAATGAATGAAGTGAGCCCATCTCTTCAAGAAAAACAACTAGTAGTGTTCATGGCCAATGATAAAATTGGCAATGGACCCAGTGAAAATTCATTTTTGGAAAACTTGTAGCTAGTACTGTGAGCTTGACAGCTTCCCAATATCTAAAGGCTTTTCTGATAAAATTCGTAATGCTAGCTAATGTGACTTTTATACTGTATAATGAAATGTGTCAACATTTGGAATATCTACATCAAACAGTGAACCAATATTTTCCAAATGACCAATTTATGATGTTACAAAATTATGCATAGGAGAAAGATCCATTCAATGTGTAAGATAGACCAATGAATTTTAATGTAGCAGTATGAAAAATTCACTGAAATGGTTTCAGATTGCACATTGAAACTATTTTTTAAAACTTTATCATTTGTCAAGATCTGGTATAGCATCAAAGAAGAATATCCACAATTATATAAAAAGACTATTAAAGTGCTCCTCTCTTTCCCAACTACATATCTGCGTGAGACTAGATTTTCTTAATTTACTTCAACAGAAGCAGCATATTCCAAAATTGAATGCAGAAGCGAATATAAAATCTAGCTTTTTTCCTCTTAAGGAAGACATTTACAGATTTTAAAAATGTAAAACAGTGCTTTCTGCCCCACTATTTTCTTTGTTTTTGGAAAAGAGATTTTTCATAAAAATACTTATTTTACTATATAATGGTATTATTGTTACTAATTCAATAAGTATTTATAAATTTCTCAGTTTTAATTTCTAATATGGTGAATATTGATAGCTATAACCTCATAAACAAAAAGCTCTTTGGGGTCTTCAAAAATATTTAAGAACAAGAACCAGTGAGATGGACTCTCATAGCTGAAAAACTATGTGCCGAAAGTAGTTCTTATCTATATTCTCTTTGATCTGGGTGTTGCCCAAATTTTCAGAATATTTTGGCCATTTTACCTAGCAACAAAGGAACAAACTGATTAATTTTTATGAATATGCCAGGCAGGGGCGCCTGGAAGGCTGAGTCAGTTAAGGATCCAACTTTCTCTCTGAAAATAAATAAATAAACTTATAAAAATGCCAGGCAGATTAAAAATTATTATCTAAATGATCAGATATCAGGTAAATTGCTTACTTAAAAATTTTTTTAAGGTTATTTATTTTGAGAGAAAGAGCATGAGTGGGGTAGGAGCAGAGAGAGAGGGAGAGAGAATTCTAAGCAGGCTCTGCGCTGACACAGCACAGAGCTCAGTGAGGGGCTTGAACCCACGAACTGTGAGATCATGATCTGAGCTGAAATCAAGAGTCAGATGCTTAACTAATTGAGCCACCCAAGTGTCCCTAGATTGCTTACTTTTTAGTGGTGTATTCGACTATGTGATGATAGTTTTTGAATTATGATTATTGACTTAATATGGAGGACACACGGCATCAACACATAGTTTGTAAATGTTGAACTTCTTACCATTAGTCGAGAAAGAAGACATTGGAATGTTTTCAACCAGTCTTGCCCTTGAAATGTTGAGATTCACTTTTGAGCGATGCCTTGACTCCACAGTGCACATGATCCAAGCGGGACAGCTGGAAACACGTCGTTGGTGGTATTTAGTTAAGATGAGAAAAAGGCCTTTGGTTGTTTCAGAAACAACCATTAATAAGATCAGATTAAGTTTCACGCAGCATTTCAGTTTTAGAGAGCGAGAACTTCAGAAATTGCGTTTCCTCCCATCAATGAATACAATCATTCCCCCCCCCCCCCGCCAGAGGATGTGAGTAACTCACATATGATTTTAAAATGGCTGAAAGATGAGATAGCCTTCTTCATAAAATATGCTTTACCAGACTATTCCTGTATGTATTAGTTTCATTCTTCTATAAATCTGTCCTCTTTAGGGGTAAAGCTCTTCAGTTTTGTCCTCAATTATTCTCAGATTGATTTTACATATGAAAATCTTATCCCTGTGACAAAATTTAGTTTTAGTGGATAAGGATTATACATAGTTTACATCATCCACAATGTTCTATTGGTAGGCAAACTGTTGATATTTTTGGTTCAGTTTAAAAGTTGAGATGAAGGGGGGCACCTGTGTGGGTGGCTCAGTCAGTTAAGCATCCATCTTTGGCTCAGGTCATGATCTCACGGTTCATGGGTATGAGCCCCGCATCGGGCTCTGTGCTGACAGCTCAGAGCCTGGAGCCTGCTTGAGATTCTGTGTCTCTCTTCCTGTCTCCCACTTGCACTCTGTCTCTCTTTCAAAAATAAATAAACATTAAAAACAAAAGTTGGGATGCAGGGAATTCATTTCCTATCTCAAGTATTTGTTGAGAATTTGCTATGTGTAAGGTGCTGTGTTAGGCATCTGTGAATATGCATTTGTGCATTTTGCTTTTATATTGAAGAAACAAATGACAAGAATTTAAAGTGTGGAAGAAACGGAATCTTATTGTTTTGAGAGAATTATTTCCATGGCAGTAGAATCTTTATGAAAGAAACCATTTTTATTGAAAATCCTCCGTCGTCTGCAAACATATTAGGAAGGCAAAGAGTTTCAGCATAGGAATTAGAGAGTTGTCTTGCTCGGTGCATAATACTGTCAATCAGATTTTAAATAGCTCCGAAAGCAGAATTGATTTTGATTCACATTTGAACTGATGTTTGTGCTGGCAGCCAGCGGGTCTGGTAGGTACTGGTTTTCACACTAAGAGGCCCGGACCTTTCTCTGCTTAGGTTTGTTGTTGGCCGGCCCCTGACCAGGCTTGTATCAGTCCTAGGCAGTGCCACTGGGGAGATCAATGGGACAGCTGGCTTTGAGCTCATAAGCGGGTATATTAGAAAGCCAATCTTCCCATCAACCTTACTGAGTTTAAAACTCAATGTTTTGTTTAAATGAAACCATGCTAATGTGCTATAGTAGTGACATTTCTTGGCTCTGAGTTCGGATGTATAATCTGATAGAGTTAAATGATTTATGTAATGAAAATGCTTGTCTAGAAGGAGTTCATCATGTGGCATCATGGGCTCACAGTCTGGGCTGTGCTGCCATGTAGCCCAGCCCTGACAGTTTCTAGCTGTGGCACCTTGAATGAGGTTACTCTCAGTGCTTAGAGCTCATTGCCCGGGAAACAGGAAATAATAGTGCTGTTGGGAAGATCAGCTCAATTAATGCATCTAAAATGTCAATTCATATAAGTTTTGGATATTATTATTTTTATTTCTGCTAATTAATTAGATCCCATTTTCAGGTTCCAGTAATTCATCATAGCAGAACTACCTTCTTCCCCACACCCCTACCTGCACATGCTGTTTCTAGGCTGACTGTGTTCTGTTGCTGGAGTCCTGAGAACTTTGTAATTACACGTTCTGTGAAGGTGATATCTGCAGTGCTGAGAGATGTATTTCAAATAAGTTTCGGTTTTGGAATATTAATACCTGCTTAATTATCTCCCTTTACGTGCTGCCATTGGCAACAGCCAAGTCGTGCCTGTTGTTAATTAATCACTTCCACTGAGAGCTTAATTAGTGTCTTCATTAGGATCATCATGGAGTGGCAGGCAGCGTCATCCTGAGCCAGCTGTAAGTTATTGGCTGGCTCCAGCAGCCCGTCTAGACTTATGAAAGCTTACACTGACGAGGAAGCCTGGTGTGCTTCCTTTCTTTTTTTGTTTTATCCTCCTAAAAGAAAGTTATGGAAGGGGCGCCGTGATGGCTCAGTCAGTTAAGCATCCGACTTCGGCTCAAGTCAAGATCCCACTGTTAGTGGGTTGGAGCCCTGCATCCGGCTCTGTGCTGACAGCTCGGAGCCTGGAGCCTGCTTCAGATTCTGTATCTCCCTCTCTCTCTGCCCCTTACCTCCTTACCTGCTTTCTCTCTCTCTCTCTCTCAAAGGTGAATAAACATTAAAAAAAATAAAGTTGGGGAAGATCTGACCGTGATGCATCCATGTTATTTCACACATGCAAAAATAAGGCAACATATCTACTTACAGTGGATAGATCAAAAAACCCAGGTTGGTTATTGAATTCTTGTCATGGTACTGAACAAGCTGGAAACAAACAAATTGTTTGCAATGTCAAAAATCAGACCATGGATCTTGTCTGTGACAGAGCGTTTCATTTTTTCTGCTGAAAGATAAAGTCCTTTCCTTCTGGCATCATTATTTTTTTAATACACACAGATTTTGAAATATTGCCAGAGTGTTATGGGATGAAATCAGCCCTCCCATTTCCTGTCTCTCCATCCCTTAGGAAAATATGGGGAGATGAGGCAAAAGTAGGCATCTTCTTGGCTTACTTTCCTGCAGAGGTAGAAACTGGGTTGGGGGTGAGAGGCATGAGCAAGTCACTCCCTAAACAATACTTCTCCCAGACCTTTTAGATGGAATGTAACCTTGGGACAATAAGATAAAAATAAATGCACCGATGACTTCTATTTAATAAAAAGGAATCCCTTGGACCAGTCCCCAAATGAGGACAAGCATTGTGAAAGGAACCTACTTTACTTGAGCATTTTTGCTTCATTCTTTTGGCTATTGTAGGCTTCTAGGTGATTTAGTCAATTGTGAACTTGGTGAAAGGATCAAGTGAAATATTTTGTTTCCGACAGATTTGCTGCTGCTTCCAGGAGAAGTGGAGGAAGACATCTGCATGCATGTTCCTTCTTACATTCCTTCCGGAGCCCAGCCCATCACCTCCGGGGTCGAGCTGGCGCCCATTGGGAGAGGAGCACACAAACAAATGGAAGAGGTACTCCACGGGGAGTTCAATTGGTTTTGAAATTGCCTTGATTTTGTAACTCGTCTTTTCAGAGAAATGCTACTATATCCATGTGCTTTTTAATTTTTCTTAGATTGGGGAAAATTTTAAATTCAGGTTGCTTAATTGCATCACTCTGACTGCCATCTATCTCTAATGGGTATACTTCCTTTTAAACATAGAGAGCAGGGCACCTGGGTGGCTCAGACGGTTGAGTGCCTGACTTCAGGTGAGGTCATGATCTCGAGGTTCTTGGGTTCAAGTACTGTGTTGGGCTCTGTGCTGACAGCTCAGAGCCTGGAGCCTGCTTCGGATTCTTTGTCTTCCTCTCTCTCTGCCCCTCCCGAGCTTGCATTCTGTCTCTCTCTCTCAAAAATAAACATTAGAAAAAAATTTTAAAAATACGGAGAGCTATTATGTTTTTATGTGGAAACTATTTTTAATTCATGATATATGCCATGTTACAGGACAGTGTTGCCTGGGGTCTTATGCAATAGATTCTCTCTTTTTTGGTCTGGACTGGCCATTTTCTTTTTACTCTTGTTTCCAAGGTCCTATAAACATCTTGTGGTCATTAAGGTAAGGCCAAGCTGTTGTTGCAGAGAATCCCAACAATTAGTTCAGTGGCTGAAAAGAGATAGAACTTTATGTCTCTCATACAACAGTCTACGGGAAACCTTTTTTTTTTTCCTTTTATAGTTTATTGTCAAGTTGGTTTCCACATAACACCCAGTGCTCATCCCAACAAGTGCCCTCCTCCATGCCCATCACCCCCCTTCCCCTCCCCACCGCCCGTCAGCCCTCAGTTTTTTCTCGGCATTCAAGAGTCTCTCATGGTTTGCCTCCCTCTTTCTCCCCAACTATTTTTTTCCCCTTCCCCTCCCTCATGGTTCTCTGTTAACTTTCTCCCATTCCACTTATAAGGGAAAACATATGGTATCTCTCCTTCTCTGCCTGACTTATTTCACTTAGCATAAAACCCTCAAGTTCCATCTATGTTGCTACAAATGGCCAGATTTCATTCTCTCTCATTGCCATGTAGTATTCCATCATATAGATAAACCACATCTTCTTGATCCATTCATCAGTTGATGGACACTTAGGCTCTTTCCATGTTTTGGCTATTGTTGAGAGTGCTGCTATGAACATTGGGGTACATGTGCCCCTATGCATCAGCACTGCTGTATCCCTTGGGTAAATTGCTAGCAGTGCTCTTGCTGGGTCATAGGGCAGTTCTATTGTTAATTTTTTGAGGAACCTCCATACTGTTTATGGAAAACCTTTAAAGTGAGCATTTGGCACCATTCTCTGGGGTCATCAGAGGCCCAGATTCCTTCTCTCTGGATCCGTACTATGCCTTCGGACATTGTCCTCCCATGTATGTTCGAGATCAGGCGAGTGCCCTACCTGGAGTGGCAGCGGAGGCGAGCATGGGAACAGCTGTTCCCCTAAGACTCTTCATTTCTGCTTATATTCCCCTGGCCTCCACAGACTGGCATGTTCCCATCGAGCACAGGGGGGTGTTAGGAAGGGTCATCCAGTTGTGTGCTTCACTATCAGGGAGAATGGCGTCCCTGCCACATAGCTCTCCCACTTGCACATCTAGAAAGTTGCCTTTTGCAGTCCTTTGCAACTCTTCTACATATACTTTATAAACACGCATAGCCCAGGCTACCGGTGGTGTTGGGTAAGGACCTTTATCGCCCTGTTTACTCCAGCATCAAAGAGTATCAGCCACAAGAAGCTGTGAAGGGCTCTTTATTATTGCTTCGTAATAAAACCCCCAGGGAATGATTATTTGATCATCCAATTACTACTAGTGTTGTCACTTGAAGATATTCTGTTATGGAAGCAGTCGTTCAGTCAAAGGTAGTCCACACATTTTGATTTTAAATTGCTTCTTTCTCATGGAACTTTTGTTTACTGACTGCACAAAAGTAGGTCTAGGATGCTTGCAGGCTTATATTAGCCCCCCGAATTGGTTACCAGATAAACTGGTTGGGACAACCACTTTTCAATGTGCTTTTTGAATTACAGATTGCTTTCTCTGAGTAATAAGAAATAAAATTGCAGTGTTATTTCTCACAGGAATCAGTTTCCTTTAAAGACTTGTTCACACTCTTGACTTCAGTTGTGACCATACAAATGGATGGACCAGCCAGTGGCCATGGTACCTAGTGCCACTATAGGGATTGTTATAAAATTGTTATAAAATTGTTACAGAAACTGAACGATTCTTAGAATCTATCAAATAGCCAGTAAAAATGCAAGTTAAAACCTTGTATATGATGGTATCTTTAAAAGGTATCGATTTCTTCCCAGAAAATGTGAACACTTTTAAAATGTTGGAATCAAAATGATGTGAACAATTTTTGTGTTGGCGAACTTCTGAAACAGAGATGAAGGACTTTTGCTGTTTTTTCGAATATCTAGAATATTTTGGTTGGCATTTTTATTTCTAACCACTATCTGTAAGAGAAACTTTTCAGAAATGTCTAGAATCATAATAGTGCACCAACTCTGCCTTGGTTTAACAGCCTTAATCATATTTAAGGCACCCACTGCCAGGAAAAGATCCAGTAATCAATTTCTAGCAAATATGTCTTGTAAGGATCTACCAAGGGACTTCTGGGGGCCCGAAATGATAGCTGAGTTCTGTGACTTCAGTGTCAAAAGATGAAAATGTCTTGACTTCCTCTTAATTGCCTAAGAAGAGGCCACAACTTCCTGATACAGATTAGAACAATTTAATTTTTTCTGAATTTTATTGCTGGGTTTTATACATACGCCTCTCCCCCTTAGAGTCAAATGTTTTCCAAGAACCTTCCATTTTCTATTTGTGAATACCCTCTTGCCTTAGTTATTCTGTTTTGATGAATTTTAGACAGCTTTATAGAGAAAAAAAAATCCATATTAGGAAGACGAAAAATTGTGTGTTGCTCCTCATAGAAGAAACTTTTGTAGTATTTCCACGGGAGGTCTCCTGTTTTTCTAATGCATAATGGGACTCTAAATTTTTTCACCTATAAAGACGGTTTATTTACTATATTAGTTTGTAAGATAGCCTACCGCTAAATGCTGCTCTTATTGATTTGAGCATTAGTTCTGTTTTCTTTAATTTGCCTGTGTGGTACTATGAATGAAAATGATTCCTCCTGTAACAGGGTCTCTCTTAGAATAAGTCACACGAGCAATTTTAAGGAAACGGGCTGTTTTCTAACAGTGTGCAAATTCTATTCCCCGAGAGGCTACGAAAAGATTTCAATTAGATTTGAAATGAGACCCCTCAAATCCACGTATTTCCTCTCAGCTCCTTAGGCAAAAATAACAAGTTAATAACTTAATTCACAGTTGTTTTCTTTTTTGTAGCAGGGGATTTGGTTTTCCATTGCACAAATTCTTCTCTTTGAAATAAATCAGAATTTCAGTTTGTAATCCCCAAACCTTGGAGTCGTATAGCTTAGACCCCTGAAATGAACCTAACCCGAAGGAAGAGATTTCCAGTGTTTGCCACTGAAATGCGTGGAATTGCAACTTTTACTGTAGTTTAAAAGCTTCCATTTAGAAGATCACAGCGATGTCTTCTGAACTGCAGTGTACATCTGCTTTGAATTACCTATGAGCCACTTGTCCGTGAGGACTTTGAACTCGCTGATGTGTGTCTTCATAAGCTTACTTTTCATGAACGAGCAGAAAGGTAGGAAGTAGTGCCGAGTTCAGTGCTATGCATATGGTAGACACGCAGTAAGTATTGAATTTACAAATAAAGAAACAAAACACCTCATTACCTCCTGAGAGTGTTTTTTTCTGGTGTAATAACATGGTAGGGCCCCTCTCCCTTTTCTTCTCTAGTGGTTCATTCTCCTCAACGTGTAAATGTGCTCAAGTCTCTTGCATCCTTGATGGAATGAAATGAAACAAAGGGAAAGGGAAAACAGCCTTCTCCTTACCTCAGGCCTTTGCCTCTAATCTCCTTCTGTTCTCAACTAGACTTAGAAACTATTAGACTAGCTGCTTCCTTCCCCGTCCTCCCTCATTCAGTACCCTGCACAGTGTCCTCAGCTCCAGTCCCCTGGCTGGATGTACACAGAATCAAGGTCCCGGTTACTCTCCAACTGCCAGATCCCAATGGACACTTCTGGGTCTTTATTTTAACAGATCCCTCTACCCTGTTCTCCCCACCGTGCTGGGTCCTGGTCCTATCGGCCTCACCTCAGTGCTCCCCACAGATTCTCTGTGCGTTTCTGTGTGTTCTTTCCCCACCTCCGTTGGGGGGTTCCCTCTGTCCATCCCTGATGAGTCCGTGTTGCTCAGGGTTCTGTGCCAGACCTCTTCCCACTTACATACACGCATCCATTTTCATCTCTAGGCCGCTGCCTTCTGCGCTTGCGTCTCCAAATCTATCTCCAGCCTCAGACCTTCTCCCAAGCTTCAGCTTCCTGTTTTCAGGCGCCGGTTGTTGTCTCTGTCTGGATTCCTTTCGGTCCCTTCAAGTCAGCATGCTAAAAACAGCGTATCTTTCTTTACCTGCTCGCCTTCAAGCGTTCATCCCCTCCTTCCCTTTCCATATCCGTATCAGCCATCAAGTGCTGCCAGTTTTACTTTCTGATATTTTCACATCTCTGCCCTCAGCTTCCTGTTCTCACCTTCTGTTCTCATTAGACTGTTACAGCAGGCTCCTACCTGGCCTCCCTGACTCCAAATCTACCCTCTGTAATCCTCGATCTAGACATAATCTCCCAAGAGGGCCGGGCATCTTTCTGTCTTGTGCAAACCTGTCTGTCCAGCATTGTCTCATTGTAGGTGCTCAGTGAAAATGTGAATGAATGAAGGAATTTACCTGACATGCACCGATGGCCAAGTATCTACTTTGCTTTCAGAAAAACTCCTTCAGTGACTTCATCATCTCTAGGATAAACAACATATTCCACCAGCATGATCGGGCACCATCTTTGTCTCTTGCTTCTGCCTTGACACTGAACTATTTGCAGAGCCTCACATGTGAAACTTTGTGTCTTATTTCCTTGGCCTGCTCTCTAGAACTCTCCTTATCTGCAAAGTTCTTCTTCCCTCAACCTTGTTAACTAACGTTACCCTTTAAGATTCTGCTTAGATATCTCCTATGCCAGGAAGCCGTCTCTGATTCCTCCCCGTTGCCTTCCAGTCTGGGCTGGGCTAGGTATCACTTCTTTGTCCCCAGTACCCCCTAACTGTGTGATTTGTACTTACGGTATTTTACTATATAACTTGTTTAAATGTCTATCTCCTTTTTCTGTGATTTCATACAAGTCTTCATCTTTGCATCCTCAGCACCAAGCACAATCCCTAGAATTTAATAGGAACATAGTGTTTGTGGAAAGAATGGAAGGCTCTTCCTCTGACATTTTTGAATCAGGGATGTACTGGCCACATTACAGTGATACCCTCAAATGGTTTAAAATGTCTTGAGTACCATCACATTATGGCATTGCAAAATGAAATTAGTCCATTCTTTTTTTAAAACAGTTACTGCTATTCTTGGTTTCTTGCCTTTATATTTCAGCATTTAACTGATTGCCTGGGGAATTAATCCAACAACAGCTACCATTAATAACTTAGTTTCTAGGTGAAGAAATTTATGTTTTTAAGTATGCTTTTATAACTTTAAGTGTATTATAAATGAATAACTCTGCTGTTGGCATCAAATTTATTGACTAGCTAAAAACGTTATTCCTTGCTATTGTTTTGGTTAATACCAAATGATTGATGAAGAGAATTATGCTCCACAACAGAGAAAAATTTAAGTGTATTTAAAAAAAAAAAACCTTAAAGGAGAATAAGATTTTTCCACTCAAGGATAAGCTTCTACATCTCTAGTACCATAATGTTGGATATTATGGCTGCAAGATATGTTGGGACCTTAGGGAATAAGGAAGTGATGGGTTGGGCCATATGTAGAGCTAAGTTAGCTATGGGAGTGAAACCCACCATGCAAGCCTTCCTCTGTCTAATACAAGGTGGGTCATGAGTGAAGTGATGAGCGGGGAGGCAAGTAGGATTTTCCGGAGAGTGGCAAGACTCAGTGAAGGGAAGGTGGGCTTCAGCGCTTCCCCTCTGTGCTTCTGTAACCTGGTTTGCATTTCTCTATTGGAGAGCATGGCACATGATGTTGAAATCATTCGCTTGTGTCTTCTCCCTGAAGTTGGGAAGACACAGTGTTTGTGGACACAGATTTTGCTGTTTTCATCCTTGCATTCCCCATCTTTAATACATATTACACATTCAGTAAGTGTTCGTGGAGGGAGCAACTAAAGGGGGGATGGGAACGTGAGAGTTGTTCATGTTATGTAGGGGGAATGTGAGACGCGTGGTCTGACACTACTGGGGTTTTAGCACAGCAAAGGGATTTGTCTCCTTTGCAACTGCCTTCCAGGGAGGCGGGTGAAGGCAAAGTGACTGCTAACGTAGTGAGAATGGCTTGTAAGGTTTAGGTAGGCTTTAGAGACCAGCGGAGGGCAGGGGCATTCAAATTCCTAGAGCAGCGGGCACATAGGGGTACTTGCAGCCTGAAACTTGGTCGACAAGTAGATGCCAGGACTTTAACCGGGCATGAGAGGGCAGCAAGAATCCCATCAGGCTGGATGCATTGGTAGAGATGGGGCTCCTCCTCATCCTCTCCCAGGATCTGTTGGAATCAGCTCAGGACACGGTGTGGCCAGGCCCGCCAGCCCCGGTGCTTACTACTGATCTAGGTGGAAATGACCAGGCTGCTGATGTTCAGAAATGAACATATTGTGTCATTGTTGATACGTTTCCTCATTCGAGCTGTTAACAGTATTATCCCTCTGTCATGTTAATTGTGATGGTAAATTTAATCTTAGAAAGAGACCAAAATGGACAGATCAGTTACCCTGCAGACTGATGGACATCCTGTGTACAGCAGCTCCTTCAGGACAATCATGCTATTACATGGAGCCTGGAATGCGTTTCTGATGAGAAGCTATGAGAATTGCGTAGCTTGTTTAGAAAAGGTCTTTTCTTCCAAGGAGCCATGACTTGGCTTAGTGAAAAGCTCCAGGTTGATTCCTACTGGTATTTTTGTTGAAAAGGTAAAGTTTGTTCTCAAGCAGATTGCCCTGGATTCAAATCTTGCTTCTCTCCCTTACTAATTGTGTAGCCTTGGGCAAGTGCCCTCGTCTTTTAGAGCTTCAGTAGATGGCCTATTTGAAGATGACTGCTAATGCCCACACTGTCCCTGGTTCTGGGGCTGGCACACGGTGGGAACTCAGCCTGCAGCAGCTCCCATCATTACTTTTGTCAGGAAAGCATGCAGACACTTTCACATAAAGAGGAAATGAGCACGTCTCTGAAATGTGTTCTCTTGCTGGTTTTACAGAGAAAGGACGGTGGATGGCTGTGTGATTGCTGCTGGCACTGCGCTCCTCACTGCAGGATGCAGCTTGCCAAAAAGATAGGAGATACCCACCTTTCGTGTTTGTTGTTCCACCTTTAATAACAGCACACATAGTGTCTAAGCTACACGCTTGATTTTCAAGAACATTGCAAAATCCACTCAATGAGATAATTTTGAATGCAAGAATATTTAAAGCTGATTATAGCTTCAGGGCATTTTTTCCCCCTCATTCTTCCATAAACCATGGTTTTCAATTATTTTAGCATCACCATATGGATTACAGAGCTACAGAGAGGTGCTGGATAATTTCATTGTATCACACACCATTTGCTTTGGGAGAGTCTATTTAAGGGGTGATACAATGTGATTTAAGATATTAATTCTCTTTTTGTTTATTGGAGAATATGCTTCTTTATCTACCTTCCTTTAGGAAGTCTTTAAAACTCACAGATTATGCATAAATAGATACAAAATTATTACATTGCTTTCCAGCTACTCTGACTTGTAGATAAATTCTGTAAAAGCTTAAAAATTCTTGGTAGGAAATTGGGTGCCTGGGTGACTCAGTTGATTAAGTGCCCAACTTCGGCTCAGGTCATGATCTCGAGGTTTGTGGGTTTGAGTCCCACATTGGGCTCTGTGCTGACAGCTTAGAGCCTAGAGCCTACTTTGGATTCTGTTTCTCCCTCCCTCCCTCCTTCTCACTCTCTCTCTTGAAAATAAATAAAAATTAAAACAATTTAAAAAACATTTTTGGTAGGAAAAAGGGATCCTGGACTTTTTAAGCGATAATATGTGCTTTAATTCCCAATGTTATTGGCCCAAGAGTTATAGGTGTTTTCTGAGGAAATAAGTTTATTGAGTGTAGAATATTTTTATCTTTGAAAATAATTTTTTTGAGGGATGCCTGGGTGGCTCATTTGGTTAAGCACCTGACTTGCAGTTTCGGCTCAGGTCATGGATCTCATGGTTTCGTGAGTTCAAGCCTCGTGTCAGGCTCTGTACTGACAGTGAGGAGCCTGCTTGGGATTCTCCCTCTCTCTGCTCCTCTTCTGCTCATGCTGTCTCTGTGTCTCTCAAAAATAAATAAATAAACTTGAAAATTATTTTACTGATACAAGTTTTTTTTTAATTTAAAAAAATGTTTTTTTTAGTAAATGGTAAAGGTATATTTAAGGTTGATCAAAATCTTAAGGTATATCTTCTCTAGTGTAACTCTTAGTTTTTCCATGTGCTTCTAGCCCTAACAGTACAAGTGGTAAAAATGTAATGACTGTGTGCAAGAGAGGCTTTCTGATTCTTGCCATAGGCGGAATTAGTTAATGATATGCATTCAGATGCAGGATGGTACAAATGGGGCATATTAAGAAACTTAAATTAGGTCAGATTGAATAATTGAATTTATTCCTTTACTTAAAAACAGCTTAATCAGCGGAGAGTGCTGAAGTTAAAAAAAAATTGAATTAAATATTAATAGGGAGTTTATGTTTTCAACTTTTTCCAGTGATTGTAGGATTTTTCTCCTTTATGACCTCTTACAGGTACTTGGAGATGAAGTTCAGCCCTTCTCACTTGATGAAGAATTTGATTATGATGCTGTGATGCTAACCCCCAAGTTCACTCCTGCGGAGATAGACGTGCTCACACAGCTGTCCAAGCAGCAGAGGCAGGTCACCAACACAGACTTAGAGGAACCCCACGACTGAGTCACCAAGACACCTTTGTGTTGTTGTTTATCGTGTTGTTATTCAAACAACATTGGAATAAAAGGTGGACCTGCTAGAATTCCCTTTGTGGAAATGTACTTGTGTGTTGATCGATCAGGGTGTTGGTCTGTAGGGAGATGTAACCAAGAAGACCAAAGAGATCTCTGCACTTACAGTGTTCTCTTCTGTCACAGTGTGCTGAATCCCGTGGCAAGTGGGAGAGATGGAGGTGGCAGAGGGGGACAGGAAGTGACACCTACAGAAGGGCCCATTTTTTTGTTTTTTTAATTAAAAAAAAATTTTTTTTTAATTTGAGTGTAGTTGGCACACAATGTGATGTTAGTTTTAGGTGTACAACATAGTGATTCGAGAGTTTGTACATTACGCTCCGCTCATGACAAGTGTAGTTACCATGTGTCACAGTACAATCCTACTACACTGTCTACACTGACTGTGTTCCCTATGCTGTGCCTCTCATTGCTGTCACCAGAAGCCTGTATCTCCCAGCCTCCTTCACCTATTTTTCCCATCCCTCTGGCCCCTCTCCTCTGGCAACTGCTTGGGTTTCAGCCGTCCCACGTGGGCACCCTCTGCTCCCGGCGCTCGGGGACCCCCTGGCCTGCCCACGACCTCAGCCCCAGCCGCCCTGCCGGGGGACAGGTGCAGAGTGCAGAGAGCAGAACACAGTGTGGCACACGGAGAGGAACCGGTGGTGCCGGGAGGTCCCTGGTCCCAGCTACGTAGAGACCGTGGTGCAAATGTGAGTGCAGAGAGGCTGGGCTTCTAGGATCGATCAGGAAAGGCTTCGCTGAAAAAGAAGGCATCTGAGAATCGATGATGTGTCATCTATTTAATTCTTGTACTTTCTTATTGCCATTAGGCCACGTGTGATGATGGTTACAGAGTACAAGGAATGATGTCTATCTCCGGAAGCTTAAGATACCATTTCAGAAGGCAAGACCCAGATAGAGAAGGAACTGGAGAATGTCTTATGAACAGCTAATTGTGAGGCAAACCCGTACATGTATCAAGGGAAGGAGGAAAGCACAGTGAGTGCACAAAAAGGGGGATTAGTAGGTCTGAAGTAATCGTTACTATTAAAGGGATCAGTGACCAATCAAATATACAAAGGCTTGATAAGTTTTCGCGCAGGCCTGTGCTTGTGTGTGCTGTTTCCATTCCTCACAGAGAGTGTTCTTGATTTAACATTGTGATAGAGTCAAGTGATTCCCACATGTATTTTTCTTTATCTAGTCAACAAACTTTCATAAAGCACCATTTACATGCCAAACCTCAAACTAGGTAATGGGGATGACGTAGTAAATTAGACACGGTCCGATTTACTGGGGACCGATTGACTGAGGAACTGACTTTGAAATGTTAATTTTACTTGAAATTAAAAAGTTGATGTCAGGTACAGCATGGGGCATATAGTCAATAACATTGTATTAACTTTGTAAGGTGACAAATGATAGGTAATTAGACTCACAGTGGTAATCATTTCACCGTGTATACGAATACCCATCCTTATTTTGTACGCTGGAAATGAATCTACTGTATGCCAGGGACAAAGAAAAAAAAAAGGGCACAAGTCTTTTTTTTTTTTTTTTTTTTTTTTAAATTTGAGACAGAGAAAGTACGCAAGCAGAGGAGAGAGGCAGAGAGAGAGAATCTTAAGCAGACTCCATGCTCAGCACAGACGCTGACGGGGTCTTGATCTCACGACTGCAAATTTTGACCTGAGCTGAAATCAAGAATTGGATGCCTAACCGACTGAGCCACCCAGGGACCCCACAAGTCTTTTTTGAAAAAGCTGATGCTTGATGCAGTTATGATAAAACTTTCAAGTAGGTTTGGAACAATGTGGGTATAGGGCTGTATTTTTTCATCTGTAAATTTTATGACAGGTAAATACAGATCAGTTATTTCTGATGACAACTTAGTACCTAATTTAAAAATGCTCTAAGTGTAAAATACACATTGGATTTTGAAGAATTAAAATGAAAAATTGTAGAATATTGTATGTTTTATATGGACTACATGTGGAAATGATAATATTTTGGATATACCAGGTTAAATAAAATGTATTATGAAAATTCATCAATTTCTTTTTACCTTTTTAATGAGGCTATTAGAACATTTAAATCGACACCCGTGGCGTGCATATCTTTGACGGCACTGCAGTAGGGGGTAGTCCGTGTGGTAAGAGCGGCGTGTACTAGAGGTTATTGGGGCAAAGCAAGTGGAGTATTCAATCATGAATGGAGAGCTGGGGAATCTTCCTAGGGGAGGTGACTTTTGAACTTGCTCAGGGCAATCAGGAGGAGTTTTTGGTTGGAGGCTCTTGGAATAGTTTGTATGGGAGATAAGGGCTCGAATTAAGGCGGTGGAGGTGGAAGGCATGGATTTGATTAGAGATTTGGAGGTAGAACAAGCAATAGCAAGCACGGATTATTGATCGATCCAGTGTGGGAAAGAGAGAACAACTGTGAGGTTAAGACAAGATTTTAGCACACGATCTGTCTACACACTGACTTGAGGAGGAAACACATTGTGATAGAATTGTTCACAAGACCAGAGACTCTCTTGACTCAGAATACATGCAGCATTTTGGTATTGTGAATTAAAAAAAAAGACTTCACCATTTTTAAGACATCTCAATTTTATGGACTTAACTGGTATGTGTTTAAGAAGAATTGCATTTTAGTGGAGTATTTTATTAAGCAGCCAGGCTAAATGGCAGGTGGATATTACCGCCGAGCATTCTATCTGGATAGCCAGTATACTCGGTTTTGGCTTTATTCCTTTTGGCAATTTTTGATTCCTGCATTATGTGGGGCAATTGTGCATTACAGCAAAAGGGACACTGGAAAATGGGTTCCTTAAAGCCTCTGAGTGAAATAGTTGCGTCTCAGTTGTACCATTACCCTTGCCCTAACTAGCAAACGCTCCTCCATGACTTTGAGCTTTATGTATCCCTTAAATCAATGTAAATGGTTTGGTTTACGTCGGCTGGCAAAGCCCTAACCAAGTGCTTTTACAAGAAGCCTGCACTTACATTGATGGATAACACTCACCTCAATTAGGTAGAGGCATCAGAGGTAAGATTGATAAAGAGCAAAAGATAAAAAGAAGCACCTGCATATATACCAAAGTGGGAGGGAAGAACATGAACAATTTATTTTTATTTTTTTTATTTTTATTTTTTACAAATAGTTTATTGTCAAATTAGTTTCCACATAACACTCAGTGCTCATCCCCAAAGTGCCCTCCTCCATGCCCATCCCCCCTCCCCCCCACATCCATCAGTCCTCAGTTTTTGTCAGCATTCAAGAGTCTCTCATGGTTTGCCTCTCTCCCTTTCCCCCACCATTTCCGCCCTTCTTCTCCCCCTTGTTCCTCCGTCAAGTTCCTCCTAATCCTCCTATACGTGCAAACATATGATATTTGTCCTTCTCTGCCTGACTTATTTCGCTCAGCATAACACCCTCAAGGTCCATCCATGTGGCTACACATGGCCAGATTTCATTGTTTCTCATTGCCATGTAGTATTCCATGGTATAGATAAACCACATCTTCTTGAGCCATTCGTCTGTTGATGGACACTTAGGCTCTTTCCATGTTTTAGCTATTGTGGAGAGTGCTGCTATGAACATTGGGGTACATGTGCTCCTATGCCTCAGCATTTATGTATCCCTTGGGTAAATAGAACATGAACAATTTAAAAGCATCTTGAAATAACGCAGGGGTTGCAACACCAGCTGGCTTGAATAGAGCCGATTTCTCCTGAAGCCTGCAGCGCCCCTGCTGGCCGTGCCCTGTGGGGGCACGCGGAGCGATCGTGTGCTTTCAGGACCCAACTCACGTGGATCAGCCCGAGGAGGAGAAAAAGATCTTCACATCTGATGCTTCCTTCATCAAGAATTCTCTTTTCTTTTGCCATGAACGTGGTGGAACTGTATCCTCATTTAAAAATAAGGAAGGGACGGAGGGAGGGAGGGAGGGAGGAAGGAAGGAAGGAAGGAAAGAAATTTCCTTAGCCAGTCAGAGAAAGGCAAATATCATCTGACTACACTCATATAAGGAATTTAAGATACAAAACAGATGAACATAAGGGAAGGGAAGCAAAAATAATATAAAAACAGAGAGGGGGACAAAACATAAGAGAGTCTTAAATACAGAGAACAAACTGAGCGTTGCTGGAGAGGTTGTGGGTAGGGGGATGGGCTAAATGGGTGAGGGGTTTAGGGAGGACACTTGTTGGGATGAGTACTGGGTGTTATACGTACGGGATAAGTCACTGGGCTCTACTCCTGAAATCATTATTGCACCATATGCTAACTAACTTGGATATAAATTTAAAAATAAATGTATAAATAAATTTTTAAAAATTAAAAAAATATTTTAAACAAGAAAAATAAAAGAAAATTTCCTTATGTGCTCAGCAACTGTACAGTTGAATTAAAATAAAAGAATAGTTGAAAAAAATTTCATTTCATTTCTTGTTTCTTGGCAGTTGATGGTGAGTAAATACAATAGTATATGCAGTCTTATTTAGAATTTTCTGGAAAAATATTTCTCCATATGTGAAGAGAAATCCATACCCTTGACCACGGCCTACCCAGCCCTTACATATTTTTGGCCTTGCTTACCTCTCCAATCTCATCTTGAACTGTCTTCCTCATTTTTTTATTATGTTCTAACCAGTTCCTATTCCTTTTTCTTTTTTTTAAACATTTATTTTTGAGAGAGAGAGAGGGAGAGAGAGAGAGAGAGAGGGAGAGAAAGAGAGAAAGAGAGAAAGACACAGAATCCAAAGCAGGCTCCAGGCTCTGAGCTGTCAGCACAGAGCCCAATGCAGGGCTTGAACTCATGAACCACAAGATCATGGCCTGAGCGAAAGTCAGATGCTTAACAGGCTGAGCCACCCAGGCGCCTCTTGTTCTTATTTATTTATTTACTTATTTATTTTTATTAAAAAAATTTTAATGTTCTTTTAATTTATTTTTGAGAGAGAGATAGAGACAGCATGAGCAGGGGAGGGTCAGGGGGAAGGAGACACAGAATTCAAAGACAGGC